ATCCCACCTCCCAAACCCCAAGGTATGAGCTGAAAAAACCTCTGAAGACATATTTGTGTATGTGCCTTCAAGTAGCCTGTCAACTTATGTGACCCTATGAATTTTGTAAGGTTTTCTTAGGCAAGGTATACTCAGAGGTGGGTTTCCCAGTTCCTTCCTCTAAAATATAGCCTGTAACACCTGGTATTCACTGGCAATCTCCCATAGAAGTACTAAACAGAACTGACCCTGCTTAACTTACTAGAGAATTAGTCCCACTGAACTCAAGAGGACTTACTTCTGCACAGACATTTAGGCACAAACATATATGGTATTGTATTGTATATGTGCCACAAGTACATGTAAGCATAGAAATGTATGGGATTATACTATACTATAAAGGTACTTTGCATCAATCACAACTTTCTTCACCTTATAGCAAGAAATTTGAAATCTGTTATTCCATATTCCTGTAGGTAAAAGTGAATGTATGTTTCCTTCTTGCAGAATTTAAAATTTGGGGTGCTGACTTTCAAGGGGCTCTGATCCTGTATGAGGAGGTATGCTACAGAATTTAGAAACCAAAAACTGCTGGGATCTCTCTCTCTCTTTCTTTCTTTCTCTCTCTCTCTCTCTTTCAGATGCTCTCTTTCAGATGCTCTCTATCTCTATCTAAGCATCACCAGTTTACAGTTCCGGCATCTCTGCTTGAGATAAAACATTGCATTCCCAGGCATGATTTGGGCACTCAAATTCATCAGTGTATATCCAAATTCTGTTTTGTGACATTGTGAAGATCGTCAAAATATGTGTTACTGGCACGTCATCTTTCATTTTCAGTGTCTTGCTCCCTTGTTGTTTTGAATGATCAGTTTGAATAATATCCTTTCATCTTGTTCCTGGGTTAACCAAGCAATGACTCACATGTAACCTGGCAACTTCTCCTTGAGGCTAGTGAACCTCCTATGATGCAAAAGCAGGTTCCTGAATGTATGAATAATGAAATGACCGTCGCTCGTTTTCTCTCCCCCTTAAGAAATGACAAATGTGTTTTAATCAAAACATTTGAATAGAAGTAACTCACTGCAGTTTTTTACTTCTGTATATTCTTTCAGCTCGGTTGGTACCCATCTATTCGCTGTTACCGTGGTGACTAAGACCCTGCAACCTTGATTTCTTGCCAAGTACCTAAGCACCGATAGCTAAATGTAACCATCACTTTAGATGGGAGCACTGCTGTCTTACGATGTGTATGAGCTAACATTGGCTGCTCTCTGCAAACTCAAATTCTGGTGAGTATTTTTGAAATGTAAGACTAGTGTTTGCCTGCTTCGTAGATGTTGACCCAAAATGGGTTGCTTTACACCAGGTGAAAACAAACTGCAATTCCTTCCCAGCAGCAGTAAATACAATTTGGGCCAAAGGGCTGCTTTGTTACCCTTTCTGTTTTTGTGCACAGTGTACTGTAACATTCCCTAACTTTAATTTTCAGAAGCATTTCCCTAGGGCTCTACAAATATTTGTCTATAGCTTTAAGGAAACAAAAATATCATCTGGGATCAATTAGAGGAACAAAAGTGTTAAGTGCTAAGGACAATGTTGCATTCACACCCAGGAAGGGTGAGGCATGAGGATGGAGTTAACAAAGCCCACAACTTAATTAATTAAATTTCTTAAATGTATAGAGATAGTGTAGATATAAATCAGCATTGCTGTTGTTGTTGTGTGAGTCATTTCTGATTTATAGAGACCTTAAGGCAAACCTATCATGGGGTTTCCTGGCTAGATTTGTTCAGAGGAGGCTTGCCTTTGCCTTCCTCTGAGGCTGAGAGAGTGTGACTTGCCCAAGGTCATCCAGTGGGTTTCCTTGACTGAGCAGGGATTTGAACCCTGGTCTCCCAGAGTTCTGGTCCAATGCTCAGACTGCTACACCATAAATATGGTCTCATAAATATGCATATCCTACAACATATCAGATGAAAACTGGGACACATATGGCTTAGCAATGTCAGTGGGTGGTCAAAAGAGTGTAGCCAGACAATAAGAAACCAAAAGTTAGTAACAGTGAAGAACATGCAATACTACTCTTTTAAGGATAGAAAATCTGGAACTTACAGTATGTTCTGAATTTAAGGAAGCCTGGAAAAAAATCCAAATGAGCCTACTGGGAAATCAAGCCAAGCCTTGCCTTGCCTTCCCCTGCTCCTGAGTTAACTGAATGCAAAGTGCTTTTGCACTTTGTACTCAGTTTGCAGCAACTGAAATAGCGAAAGACAAAGGAGTAAAGTGGGCGGAGGGGACAGAAACTGAGACATTTTAAAAGCAGCTGAGAAAATGGGACAGCAGAGGATTAAATGAAACCACCCCTGCCAAACTGGATCAGTTGAAAGGTATGAATTTCTGGACTGAGACAGTATAAACTAGAAGGTCCTGTGCATCATGCTAACTCTGTGACTTTCTGGCTTGGAGACTGGAAATAAGTGCCTGAACTGCTTGTAGATTTTATCAGTTCCACATGCTAGTTGTGTTGAGAAAGACTGCCCTTCTTCTATGAGCCCAAAGATTTTGAGTGGGTGAGTCAAGCATGCAAAGCCAGAAGGACTTGAAAAGGGAATCACACAGCTGTCTACATGTATGTTGTTGGACTACAGTTCTCAGCATTCCTTTCCACTGGCTATGCTGGCTAGGACTGATGGGAGCTGCACATGATTACCATCTCTGGACTAAAACCTTTGGAAGAACACCGCTATTCAGAGTTTTAGCCAACCATGGTTTCCATGGAAAGTCATTTTGAGATTTGTCTTGCAAGTTCCAGCCTCTTGTTCCCATTGACCTGGGTTCATGCTACAGATTGTAATAAATGAAGAACTGCTGCTAGAGTCAGCAAGGTCTCTAGAGTGATGCATGGGGCCAGAACTTTTTGACAGATACCCTGAGCTTCAGGCAAGTGCCACCAAAGCAAATAAACAATGCATAGTCTGAACCTCAAGAGACTTAAGAGCCTTGCATATGTTTCCCCAAAGCCACACCATCACCACCACCACCAGCAGCAGCCTGGATCTCATACAGGTGCACAGAATAACTTCTTGAGCTGATGCTCCTAGAGAACCTCAGTCTTCCTGCGCACCTGGCTTTTTGGCAGGGGTCATTTTACCTATTGATCCTCAGCAGGGCTGGTACAACTGGACAACTGTTAGGGCCCACATGGTTCACTGGGGCTGACACTTTGCTTGCCCTCTGCCACTTTCCCCTTAGCATTGCTTTTATGCTTTGCCAATACCTCCTTTCAATAAATACTTAGGTTCCCTGAAAGCTTGGGGGCTGGCCTTTGCAGTTGCCAGTCATTCAACTCAACTGGTAGTTGAATTTTACTTCAGTACAAATGACAGGATCATGTCCTTTGCCACACCTCAGGAAAGTAGGCTAGTTTAGGGGGTGCAGAAGTGGTGCACACAATTTTTTCCTTCAGCAGAAGAGAATAGCTAGCCCTCCACCACAGAAATGCTCTCTCTGTGTATGTGTGACAGTACTGCCCCCAACACCTGCAGTCTGAGATTGTTGCCTCGCTCTGCCTAATGGTAGGGCCAGCCCTGTGTCTAATGGTCTAAGAAGAGAAAGTCTCTTAGCCCCCCTTGGTGAGCCATCATTGTACTTAGCTGACAAATGCTGAACAGGAAAGAGTCAACGTTTAAGGTTCTTATTAGCAATAAGCTTGAGTTAGTCAAGCTGAAGAAGCAAGAATTTAAGGAATGATTTGCTGCTATTAGAAAGCTTTTAAATAGGGTGTTAGTGCTTAGAGAAGCATCTGCTGCCTTCCTGCAAACTAGAGCAGCAACTGACTATGAATAGTCAAACTCCATTGGTGGTGGTGGTGGGGAGAAATTGTCACTAGATTTAAATACAGCCTGTGGGAGGGGATAAGATAGGGTTTTATTATTCTGATTCCTTGTGCTATTGTTTATTGCTGTATTCTATTGCTGTATTTTAACTTTTTTCCTAGTTTAATTCTGTTTTAAGGGGATGGGAGGGTTGGATTGTGGGACGAGGGAATGTTTTAACTTGCCTGTTTTAAAATGTTGTAACCCGCCCCAATTGCCCTACAGAGGGGCGGGCTATAAATAAAAAAATATTATTATTATTATTATTGATGTGGTGCCAAGACCTTTTCCAGAAAAAATGGTGCTCATTTGTGAATGAATGACCCCTTTCCAGCAGCAGTGACACAGTGTGTCAAGTGTACAATGGGAGCATCATTTCTTTACTTCGAAATTCTAGGCTGAGATGCAAGGGGGCAACTTGAAAGGAGCGATTCAGGCACCGCGTGAGAAATTAACCTCAAGAAGTGATCTTGCCAATACTATTCCCCACTTCTTTTCCCCAACCTATATAGAAAAGCTCAAGGGCTGACATGGTAGAAATTGTGTTAGGAAATTTTCTGTGGGCATCAGAGAAAGAGAGAGAATTTGTGGGATCTTCTTGTGATGAAGAACAAAGATGAATTTATGTGGCATTAAGGAATGTGGTATGAGAACATGATTCAGATTGTCACACCTACAGGGAGCGTTCCTAGGGTGGCAGGGGTGAGGGGACATTAGTGTGTCATCAATCCATGGCCAAAAACCCAGTGGCATCACTAGGGAGGTGCGTGGGGTGCGGACTGCACCAGGTGACACCTTAAGTGGGGGTGACATCACTGCTCCTCAAACATCTGCCTTTGGGCAGAAACAGGCTGCAGCATTCAACTGTGTCCCTTTAAAATGCTGAAGAGATGGTGTGAGTGGAATGAGGCTTAATGGAAAGAGAAAGGAGAGGACCTAGCTTTTAAATTTTAAAAATTATTTTTTAAAGAAGCATCACATTTAAATTTTAAATTTAAATTTAAAGAATTTTTTTTTAAAAAAAACACATTTTACCAATTTTCACTTCAACATATGGAATGGTATATATGTAAATGCATTTAGGCTGTGCATATGGTATTGTAATTTAAAGGTATAATTTTAATTTTGCTAGTTGTTTAGAGAGCCAGTGTGGTGTAGTGGTTTGAGTGCTAGACTGCAACTCTGGAGACCTAAGTTCAATTCCCAGTTTGGCCATAAAGCCCACTGGGTGACCTTTAGCCAAGTCACATTCTTTCAGTCTCAAGGAAAGGCATTGGCAAGCCTCCTCTGAAGAAATCTTGCCAATAAAACCCCCTTAGGGTTGTCATATGTCAGAAACAACTTGAAGGTGCACAATAAAAAATAAAGTTGTTTATGTCACAACTATTACCATTATATTTAGTAATATACAGGTATTACAATTAATGAGTAACATTAGTACAAAAAACATTACTAAGGATTCTGTATGGTGTGCTTGGGAGGATGTCAATGTGTGTGGGTGGAATGTGTGTGTGTGACACCATGAGATCACACTGGGTGACACAAGCCCTAGTGATGCCACTACGGAAACTTACATACATTTACTGTACCATCTGGTTGATTCTGTGTTCACAGCCTATGTGGATAGTTTGTGAGCACACAGAGACTATCCAGCTGGTATAACAAGCACACAGAGGGGCTGGGGCTGTACCCATAGATAGCTGTGTGAAGAACACTGAAGGAAATTCAGAGGTACTGCCACATCTTTCAGGGAATGGGTGAATTATGATAGAAGATTCAAGATCACTCAAGGTTGATCTCAAGTATTCCAAGTCCCTTCTGTATATGCTGATTACACTTTAGGACTGAGATTAAAGCCTGTGTTAAAATACACATTTTAATTTTGTTTTCTTTTGTTGCCAGTTTCCTTCTTTCTGCCTTGCCCACTCCCAATGTAGCCCACTGTGTCTCTTAGTAAGCTCCCCTCTCTTGTTATTTATTTTGTATAAATTGTTACACAATGAGATCTAAGCTTGAAGTGAATAAACTAGGGGCGCAAGGTTGAGGAAGGAGTGTAGCTCGATTGTAGAACACTTGCTCTCCATGTTTGCTTTGTGTAAGATTTTCATTTTTTTCCTTTGCAGTTTATGTTCAAGCCACCTTGAATTGGATTTTTTTCATTGAAGGGTGGAATAAACACACCCCAATAAATTAATAATATCCCTGGTTGGCTCTTAAACTAATGCCACAGATTCTGCAAAATCTGAAATACTTGTGCATGTTTTCACTGCAGAACAAGGGCTATCATTTGGCCAGGGGGAGCTGCTTTTTTGCTTACTCTGTTTGGAGGCATTGTTCAGATGTCCAGGTAAGCGTAAATAAAGCTGCTCACACCACTTTCCTGTAGTCTCAGGTGTCAAAGAGAACACAAGAAGAGACAAGCAGACATGCGCTCCCATGGGGTATTGGATTTTATAGTTATTTTCTTCCTATCCCCACCGTCCCTTCATTATGGTTGCAATCCTAAACACCTCTGCTAGGGAGTAAGCCTCATTGAACACAACAGGATTTCATTCTCAATAAACATACTGTGTATTGCAACTCATGCCTTCAAAACAGAGCAGCCTGTATGTACAGGGAAAGATAGAAAGTGCCCTTGTGGGAGAAATGGTGGCACAAATAGTGTCATTGCACCAGGTAGCCAGGAAAAGCGAGTTGCTGGAAAGGCAAGATGAAGGATTCAGGACTCACTTGTAGATTTTATTCATCTTATGGTGGAAGGCGGTAACATTCATCCACATTCCTGCCTAGTGAATAGCTCAATAGCCCTTTTTCTTACATATAGGATGTGTTTTATCTTACTAATAAATGCAAGAAAATGTTTCTTTTACAAGGGAACTGGCTTTCAGATAAACAGAATTAAATGCTTTCACACCTCAGGTCTAAGAGGCCTGCTGCTTGACAGATCTGTATCATCTCACACATCTCTTTGAAGGTTCATAGCGAGTCACGGTTTGCTTCATTCTATATCCTATTATAGTCTGATCCCACCCCACAACAACATAACTGCTTGAATATCTTTCAAAGAAGTAGCAATGTTAGGCTGCATCCACCCAGGAGAAATAATCCAGTTAACTGCCCTGGCTCAGTGCTATGGAATTCTGGGAATTGTAGTTTGTTGTGGCACCTGAGCTCTCTGACAAAGACAAAATATTCCACAAAACCGTAATTCCCAGAATTCCATAGCATTGAGCCGTGGCAGTTAAAGTAGCATCAAACTGGATTATTTCTCCTGTACAGATGCAGCCTGTTTCTTGAAGCATAAAAGTTTTTTTTCCCCTCTAACTGGCTTTTATTTTAGCATGAGCTTTCATGGACATAAACCCACTTCTTCTGAGGCAGTAGAGTGATATTAAAGCTTCAGGTTATAACACTTATTTATACAAGTATGGGAGTAGTTGCCACATTCATTTTTTTCAGACCCCCTCCCTTCTTTCTTTTTATGCTTAAACACCTGTGGCATTAATTTTGTTTTCCATCAGTGCATTTGAAAAAGTGGATTGAAATTCATGATTGCTCATGCTAAAATAAAGTCTTAATCTAGACTTTTAAACTGAGACTACACTGGGAAGGAAATGACTTTGGCAATACTCATTGCATGATGCCACCTCCAACCTGTAGCTGCCCTATCCCCCACCTGTCCCTTTTCATTCACAGGGGAAAGCTGTGAATGATCTGGCAATCGTGCAAGTCCACAAATGCAAATGTCACTCCCAGAGCAGTTGGGTGATTGCCAGACACAGGGTGCCAATGTCCCCTCCTTCCGTCCCCCTCCCATTCACTATTTCGAAGCACCCTAATTTTTTGTTTGTTTTTTAACTGCCCTCGAGTTGATCTCGACCCATGCGACCCTGTGGATGAGACATCTCCAAGACTCCCTATTTTCTACTGCTCTGCTTAGTTCCTGCAAACTCATACCCATGACCTCCTTAATAGAGTCCATCCATCTAGCATGCGGCCTTCCTCTCTTTTTGCTTCCTCCCACCTTTCCTAGCATTATTGTTTTTTCCAGTGAGTCCTGTCATCTCATGACGTGGCCAAGGTACAATAACCTCAGTTTTGTCATCTTGGCTTCCAAGGAGATTTCCAGCTGGATCTGTTCTAGGGCCCATTTGTTTGTCCTTTTGGCTGGCCACGGGATCCTCAGCACTCTTCTCCTGCACCACATTTTGAATGAGTTGATTTTCTTCCTACACCCTAATTATTTTAAATTTTTCTCTAACTTCTTTCTTTCTCTTTCTTTCTTTTTACTTTTTAAGAGTTAGTTTGGGCTGCAGAGCTCTAAAATTGTGTGAAACAAAGGGGAAAATAACAAAACAAATCAAAAAGCCCTAAAGGCATGTTGGGTAGGGCATTAGGCAGAGAGGCGAGGTTAAGGGAGATTTCAGGAAGACAGCAAAATGGGGGCACCAGCCCCGGTCATGCGATTATGAGCAGTGTGGTGATGGCTGCCTAAAAACGGTAAGTTCCCATTTTTTTATTAAAAGCATAACTGCTGTGAGAACAGGGCTGTTTATAGTCATCTAAACAGAGACTCGAAGAATTTCCTACACAGACTAACGGTCACTCTACCTAACCTTGGTTGGGTGGCAGTGAAACAAGTGGCTTTTCCTTGTGTTTGTTATATTTTGTGTGGTTTTCGCTTCTCCTCTTATTTTTCCTGCACTTCTAATATAGCTTCTTCAGTCCCCCTTGGTAGTTTGTTATTCAGCAAGAGCATTCTAGGATTCACACATACCCAGGGGTCACATCTTCTACGTCAACACCCTTTCCTCCAAATACCACCAGCAAAGAGCTAGCTATAGTTTGGGTTTTGTTAATGACAAAAAGCACTTTACACATACATAGCAAAAGTACTCTGTTTATTTTCTGTTTTTCACAGATGAATCAGGGCTGGCCCTACTGTTAGGCAGAGTGAGGTAGCCACTTCAGGCAATAGATTTTGGTTGTCATGAAATGGCAGCAAATTGTCAAGGTATCTGATTTATTCTTAATTACATTTTTACCAGCAAGGAAGTGGAGAGGTGTCTGTGTAGTTTTTCCCCTCACATACCAAAATCATTTGGCTGGCTTTAGATACTATGCACCTTTATTTGAGTGCATGGCTGAGGTACCATTTGCCACTCTACCTCAGACAGCAAAAAGTCTTGGTCTGGCCATCGTCTGAGTCATCCTGGCATTTAAAAAAAAGCAACAACAACAACAACAACAAAGGCACAAGGGAACTGTGGAAGTCCCAAGAATAATTTAAAATCATGTACAATTAATAAAGGATACAGCTAGCACCCTACCAGGTAGATGTGGTCAGCAGTCTGAAGAAAAGGGTGTCCATCAGGTAGCAGAGAGACAATGGAGTTGGAGCCAACCTAGTCTTTCTCATCAGGGTGTTAAATCTTGAGTTCCCACTAGATGTGGCTCTTCAGGAGAAGGCCTTAAACACTGCACAGATTGGTATGGGAAAGTGCAGGCTTCCAAACAGGCAGCTCTCCAAATTGTTCAGCACAAAACTGGGAGAGATTTACTACCTCAAATTTCATCCAATCTGGTGTCCAGGTTGGCATGCTTATCTAAGTCCTGGATGACTATTTTTCTGTTCACTGACATGGTATTCAGCAGAAGTAACTTCAGCCCATCTAAAACCAACTAAGGGCCAAAACAGACTGCAGAAATAATCCAGCTTGAGACCACTTTAACTGCCCTGGTTCAGTGCTAGGGAATTTTAGAAAGTATAGTTTGTTGTGGTACTAGAGCTCTCTAAAAGAGAAGGCTAAATGTCTCACAAAACTACAGTTCTCAAAATTCCCTAGGACAGAGCCAGGGCAGTTAAAGTGGTCTCAAGATGGATTATTTCTGCAGACTGTTTGGGCCCCAAGACTTTCTTAAAAGGGAGATGGCTTGTGAGCATTGAACGCCTCTTTGTTCTCCCTACTCCTATTTTCTCCCTCTGTCCTCTGCCATTACAAATCCCTTTTCCTGTCTCAGTTTAACCCTCTGCCTCTTTTTTGAACACCTCTCTCCTGCCCAGCAAATAATAACCAAAACTCTGGTTTCAAAAATTACTTAAAACAGCCATGTAAAATGCAGGCTGGCAACCATACTTTCCTTCCATCTTTCCAATAAGTGGGGTGGCCCTTCTCCTTATTCAACTCTGAAGTGTCTCCTCCAAAACTATGAT